AATGTCTGTCTTTTAAATAACAGGAGTATAGATCCCATATACATCCCATTACATAAAACTCACTTTTTTAACTTTTCTATTCCTTGAAAAGTCCATTCTGAAAGTAAATACAAGTTACTCAAAAAGTAAGGTAATACATACAATGCTGACCCCAAATAACCACAGCCTGTCCCCTTTCTGATGAAAAAAAAAATTAATTACATGAACAACATGACCGCCTACAATGAATTTTTCATTACTAAACTCCCAGCACTGTGCCTGACACAAAGGGTGAGGTCAAACATTTGAGGATTTGAACTTGTTATAGAAAACTTCTGAAACCCTAAAGCAGAAGCCAACTACTCTATAAAATTCACTCAGACTGTTAATGAATTTAGTATAAGATGCTGACCCTTTCTTTCACTCCTGAAGCTTCTGTAAGGTAAGCTTACACTTCTAAGGTACTTTTGAATCCCTGCATGAGTCGGTTAAGCACATTTAAAGTGGTTTATCTTGTTTTGTTACTGTACTCTTTGTTAAAGAGAATCTTTAAAAACTCTTGGTATTATAAGTTCCAAAAATCTTACACCGATACCAAATATGGTGTATGCCAAGTCCCCATTATTATCAGATCCACTTTTCTAATTTAAGCCTTAATTTTCCTGAACATTTCTGGTACTCTATCAGGTCAGGTTTTCCTCTCCTGTTTTTACCTTTAAAATACACTTGGTCCTGTAACCCCACTCACAAGGCCTCCCCAGCCCCCACCTCTTTTGTATATAAACACACTGTCTTGTCACACACTCCATCAGCTGTTTGGTGGCTCCATCCCTCCTCCTTTTCCGGGTAGTAACAGAGCAGCCAATGAGCTGCGAGGAGCTGTGCCTGCGGCCTTTTGCCTGCATACGCTTTTCCAAAACAAGCAGCTCTAGCCTTCGGCAGGGGCCACTGATTCACAGATAAAAGGATCACCAGGGCTGTGCAACAGGGTGAGACAAGTAACCCCCACCAACAAGGAAACCCGTGTAATCTGAGCTGTTTGTTCCTCCATCAGGGAGAACTTAAACCGATATTCCTTTAGGGCAAATCACACTTTAAGGTCACCAGAGTCCCAGTTCTCAGACAATCTAAATAACCAGCCAGTTATAGATGGAAACCTCAATGGTTGCCAGGGTGGGAGCAGCACAGGATCACCAATCTACCTGACTTTGCAAACAAATGGCCACACTATCTGAGACCATTCTATAGGATTTGGGCTAACTGCTAGTTTTTTTTATTCGGACACATTCCTATGGGGCCCAAAAGTCATGTAAATCAGTTTCTAGGCTCCTGGGGAGGTTTGCACAACCCTTAGCAAAGGATCAGAAGAGAAACAATGAATGAGTCAGAGTTTCAGAACATAATCGCCCAGCAGATTATTAAGTGCATTGGTGCAAAACATTCACTCCCTGCATAACTTGGGAGTCAGCTCTCCTCCTACCAACTGGTCACAAAAGAAATATCACCAACTCCAAACAACAACCAGAGACAGTGTCTCCAAAAGAACCTAGTGAGGTGGTGGAAGGCAGCGGCCAATTAGTTACACATCCTCTTCTCTCCCCACCCCCACACCACTACTCTCCTACTATATAGGTTCCCTGCCAGGCTGTATATATCGTGGTGGTATAATTACACTCAGGAGACATCCAAAAATGGGCTGAAACAGGAGATTGCAATGAAACCAACTATCAGCCTCCACACCAAAGAAATCATCAAGGGGCACTAAGGGGCAAGAAGTACATTCCTTCAGACCTTTTCTTTCTCCTTCCTCTCCACCATCTTTCATTTTCAACCCCCAGTCCTTTCACACAATTGTACTCATTTCAGTAGTGGGTTGGGAAATTTTTCCTTCATTTTTTAGCTAAATATACCTTACTCAAAAAATGTTGGCTCCATTTGGGCCTACTGATGTGAATTCAACAGAGAAAGGAGGCCACAAAAATCTCTTACCCCCACAACACACAAACAAGCTAAATATACCTTACTCAAAAAATGTTGGCTCCATTTGGGCCTATTGATGTGAATTCAACAGAGAAAGGAGGCCACAAAAATCTCTTACCCCCACAACACACAAACACACACAAAAGGAAATAGAAAATTTTAACTTCCCAACTACGTTAGACCAGAAAATAAACACAAAGATAACCTCTGGCTTTTAAATCTGGAGACTGTTCTCCTCCTATCTCAGAGATCTACAATTTTAAAGCGCCTCTGCTTTCTTTTGTCAGAAAGAAGGAAGGTGGGGAAAGAACAGAAGGCCAATGCATCTTTGCCTTTCTTCATCTTCTACTAAAAATAAGCTATGAAATAAGCCACTTGGGGTGGGAGAAGACACTCTGCTGTTCTTTGTCTGTTTTTCTCTCCGTCTCCACCCCCCACACCCCGACTCCTAAATGCGGTAATCATTCTAGATGCCACAACTACTAAATGAACAAAAGGCACTATATGGAAAAGGCATCAGGTCAAGTTAGGCCTCACTCTTTATCCTGAACCTTTACAAAATAAATGTATGTACATAATTTGGGAATCTGACATCGATCAAGAACAGCTGGAATTATCTCCCTCATTCCATCCTAATTAAACATTAGGTAGAAATTTGCATTAGGTGTGACAGTAGCTCTCAATTCAAGATAAAAATAACTCCGATTCTGCCACCATTTCCTAGTTTCCAAACAAAAAATAAAACCCGAAACTGCTTTGTATAAATTGTACACAGTCATATCTACAAGTCTTCCTGCAACCTTATGAAAAGCCAGCGTTACTGGTATTTGTACATTTACAAAACAGTCACAGCCACAAACAGCTCATAAAGAGTTGATTTCACTTGTGCCTAGACATATATTTGGCACATTATACTTCATTACTTGCTGCTCTCTAATCCCCACTCCCGCCCCCCAAAAAATTATAAACTCCAAACCCTAAACTTAGTTTATCTACCTTTCCTAATTTCTAGCCAAG